AATATAGTAAGGTCTCACATGCACATAGTTCAAATACTGAATGAATCAAATCAAACTTTGGCATATCACATGAATTTAGGCAATTACACATACATGTTAAGTTTATCCCAAAGTTACGGCTAAAGTGCGTAAGTAAAGTATTCAGGGTATAACACATAATGCACAGACTCAAAAGAAATTTTTGCCCCAATGTAATTAGATTTCATAGAGTCTCAAGTTAAGTTCATCATCGGCTATTTTTGGATTTTTTTATTTTCTGATTTTTTTATTTTCTGATTTTTTTTTCATTTTTCAATTTTTTTCTTCTTTTTTATATGAAATAAAAACAATGAAACAAACAAATATAAATTAGAAAAGAAACAATAAAATTCCTCCCCACACTTAGAACATACATTGTCCACAATGTAGCAAAAGATATAAAAATGAAGAGCAACACTTCTGTAAAATGATGGTGATGGAGGGTGCAAAACAGCAATTGACGAACGATGATAATAGCAGCAGAAGCTAGCCAATGATCCGATTGAAGTTTGGTTCGCCCGATTGCAGTTTCGGAATTTAGGGTTACTGGAAAAGAATAGAGAGAAAATAAAACTTAAAAGGAAATTTGGGTTTTTATTTATTTATTTATTTATTTTTAAGAAAAGAGCTCCAGCTTGTTAGGCGTGATCACATCTAAGAAAGGATCCGGTTCTGCCCTGCCAACTAAAAATCACTTATAAAAAAAAAACGAACCTCTTTCTCACGCCTAAGAGAAAGCCACTCCAATGAAAAGCTGCGAACAAAATGTGTACTTACCCCTGATCACGCTTAACAAAAACTCTCCTTCTTTTTCTTAAGAAGAAAATACTAAACACACTAACCAACAAAAATAAACTAACTAATCAACACAATAAAATTTAAACACTTTGGGTTGCCTCCCATGTAGCGCCTTTCTTTAATGTCTTTGGCTAGACAAATTCCATGCGTCTCATGGCGGAAATTTTGGAACTCCACCTAACAACGGTAGATAAAATCCTGAGCAATGTCAAACAAAACCAAAGTTAGTCTCCTCTAACTGATTCCTTAAATGCTTCACCTCTGTCTAGCATATCTAAAATTGAATCTATCTTTATCTCTATTTCAAAAGATCGAGATAGATGACCACATGCATCATCTAGACTTATAGGTGGTGGTTTTGACTCTACTTTTGAAGATTTCCATTCATCAATTACCATCAGCAATAGAACATGGTAGAGTAAGTTTACTTGGATCTTTGCATTTGGAAGAAAATTTTGATTGCGACATACCAGATAGATGATCTCCAACTACTACCTCATTCTTTGAAAACTTCTCCATCACTTTCTGTTTGGAATCCTCCATTCCTGACTCTTCTCGCATATCTGAAGAAGAACTAACAAATGCATTAGTTGGACTAAATAAAATTGAAATATCAATTACCTCACTGTACAATGCCTCTGCTTTGTTTTCCTCTGCTCTCATATGTTTCAAATCATCTGCGTTTTGAGTAGGTGCTGTCTCCACACCATAAACCTGTTCTATGAAAGGATATTTCATTCTCTCTAACTCGGCCCTTTGATGGGGTTGTCAAACCACACAAATAAATTAAACTACTTCAAACTACAGTAGTATAGAGAAGTAAGGTCGTCTCCTCAGGGAACGATGGATTGTTTCCTTCAAATTAATGTAAATGGGAAGATTTTTGGATTGTTTTTCTAAACTAAAATAATGAAATTCAAATAACAAAAATAAATAAAAGAAAAGAAATCCAAGTAACAAACTACTGATCCAAGGGACGGATAACTCAATTATTTTATTAATCACAGACTAAAACTACTCTTGTAATTTAAGCATTCAACCAAAGATCTATTAGGATAGCCGTAATAAATCAATTAATCTCCCTAAATTAACTAACCAAGCCTACCACTCAATTAGTCCTTATCATAATTCGGCTGGGCACGATAGCGTTCCATACCAAACAATGATAGCATAAATACCAAGGAAGTATAGTTGAACCAAAATCTAAACAATTGAGATAGCTGCAACTATTCAGACTTTGCCTCATTGATTCCACATTTAAACTAACATGCATATTCAATGTCTCACCAATACACATGCTTTGTCTAATTGCTACTCAATACTGCCAATTCTTGTCTATTACGTAACATTCAACTAGCAGATAACACTAGAAAATGAATAACAAATCAAGTTGTCAATTTGAATGATATCTACTTTCATAACTCAATACAAGAATCAACAAATACTTAAATTATAGGCAAGAACAATAAATTAAGAACAAAACCTCATAATGGAATAACTGAATAAATCCCTTGAATCAGAAAAAAAATCCTTAGCCACTCATGGACGGAAACATGCCGGCTTTATTCTCCATAGAAATTCAAGAAAAATTGAAAGAAATAAAAGGTCTGAGGTGCTTAGCCTTGCCTCACGTACGACTGCCCTCTAAAATAAAAATAAAAGTATATTTATATGGAAAATTTAGGTCAGCCTCTGGAAAAGAAGAATTAGACCACGATTTGCATCTTTGGTCCCTCAAGTTTGTAGTATTTTCACTTTTACCCTAAAACTTCTTCAATTTTGCATTTAAGTCCTTGATCGTGCAAAATCATCCAAAATATCTCCAATCTCTTATTTCCAGCTCCTAACAAGAAATAATAACAAAACTAATGAATTAAACCCATCTGAGTCCATAAACTAATAAAATATCAACAATTAAAACACAATTTATGGATTCTATCACCCTTGAGAATCTGCTAGGAAAAGGACGAAATACCACATAATGTGGCTCTTCTCTAGCAACTTCTTTCTCTACCTTCATCTCAGATACATCATTTTTGGGACACAGGATTAACTACCGATGGAGATGGTAATTCCACAGGCTTTGAGACTTCGAACTTGCTAATAGCATTAGCTAGCTAGCTAATTCGGCTCCCCAAATCCTATATGCTTGCTCTTGTTTCCTGTTCAAATTCAAGAGTATTAGTTGCCAAAGCGTTAACAATCTCATCTAAAGACAAACCTGAGCTTTGAGATTGTGGAGGTTCCGAAACATGATAGACTTGTGGCTGAGATGGTTGATACTGATAGTTGAAATTCTGGTAATCCTACCAGCCTGGATCATATGAATATGAACGAGGTTCGTATCTTTCTTGTGGCGGAATCCAAGATTCTCTCATGGCATTCTCACCCTCCCACTGGTAGTATGGTAATTTTGGACAAAAATCGCTAGTATGACTAATCATTAAACAAATACCGCATCTTTGCACTTGTTTTTGTTGACCTATAGCCATATTCTTCACAAGAGTAGTTCAAATAATTTTCACTCAAGATATGAAGAACTTACCTCATTTTTATTCCAATGGCCATCTTGCTGGTTCCAAGATTGATGTGCATAATAGCCCATTGCAAAAAATAAAAAATAAAACTAAAATAAAACAAAACAAAAATTTAAAGGAAACAAATCAATTAACACTGTTCCCCGGCAACGGCCCCAATTTGATGGGGTGTCAAATCCACACAAATAAAATAACCTACTTCAAACTACTGTAATATAGAGAAGTAAGGTCGTCTACTCAGGGAATGATGGATTGTTTCCTTCAAATTAATGCAAAGGAGATTTTTGGATTGTTTTTCTAAACTAAGATAATGAAATACAAATAACAAAAACTAAATAAAAGAAAAGAAATCCAAGTAACAAACTACTGATCCAAGGGATGGACAACTCAATTATTTCACTAATCATAGGTCAAAAAAGGCATTCTTACATTCAAGTATTCAACCCCCAAATTTATTAGGATAGCCATAATAAATTCAGACTTCTCTAAAAACATTGACCAAATCTAGCATTCAATCAAATCTTGCTATGACAGACTGGGCACTATAGCGTTCCACGTCTAGCCACAACAGCAATACACACAAGAACTAGTTGAACCAAAACCAATTAACAGAGATAGCTACAATTAATTAATTTTGTCTTGTTGATTTCACATTTAAACTAGCATGTGTATCCTATGTCTCACTAATACACATCTTCGTCTAATTGCTACATAGTGCCAATGGTTTGTGTCTATTACGTAACATTCAACCAATGGATAGCAACAAAAAGTAAAAATCAAATCAAGTTGTCAATTTGAATGATATCTACTTTCATGAAATAAAACCAAGAATCAACAACTACAAGAATTAAACGTAAGAAAGATAAATTAAAGCATAACCTCACAATGAAACAACTGAATTAATCCCTTGAATCAGTAATAAAAATCCTTAGCCATTCATGGACGGAAACATGTCGGCTTTATTCTCCATGGAAATTCAACAAAAATTGGAAGAAATAAAAGGTTTGAGGTGCTTAGCTTTGCCTCACGTACGGCTGCTCTTTTTACAAAACTAAGAATCCTCTTTATAATAGAAATTTAGGCCAGCAGCTGGAAGAGAAGAATTAGTCCATGATTTGCATCTTTGGTCTCTCATGTTTGTAGTATTTTCACTTTTACCTCAAAACTTCAATTTTGCATTTGAGTCCTTGATCGTGCAAAATCATCAAAAACAGCTCCAATCTCTTATTTCCGGCCCCTAACAAGATATAATAACAAAACTAATGAATTAAACGTATCCGAGTCCATATACTAGTAAAATATCAACAATTAAAACACAATTTATGGACTCTATCAAATTTGTTCAGTTCATTTTCTTTTCTTCTTACACTTTAATCAGATTTTGAATGGTGGACGGCTATTCCTGTGCAACGACCCTGTTTACCGCTAGCTAATAGTTTTAAGTAATTTTTATAAATATTCTTTTGGGAGTGCATCAACGACAGCATCCACCAGGTTGTTTAGGACATCTATTTATTGCACATAATCTTGGTTGCAAATCATCTTTACTAAATTAATCAATTTTACCGAATTCTCTCGAAACTATCGATGTGGAAATCCCTAATTTCCTCCCTCGCCATTTCTTCTTGAAAACATGCTAGGCTAATGATGACATACTCTCAAGAAGGAAAAAAAAAGGGTAAGCCAACTAAGAGCCAGCTTACCAAAAGCTGCGGACATTTATGCTTCCAATTGCCCATGAATACTTGGGATAAATCCGAATACGCATTGGTTCATTTTCAACCATTTGAATGCAGATTTGGATAAGAAATTTAAGATTGGTGTAAGAGATTACATCTCAAATCAGAAATTATCAAAATCTTTTACTAATTTTGAATTAGGCATCAAAATTTCAAACATACAAAATTTCTACAAAATTTAACATATTCAAATCAGACAAGTATATGTCGTATAAAATCCAGAATGCGACAAGTGGGTTAGCAGCCCATAGGAAGGTTACATCAAGAACCCAACCTTACTAAATAGTATACCAATACATTCTTCATGAACTTAATTATTGACGTTGATGTTAAGCAGTTGAAAAGAATATGAGAAAAACACCCAAAAAAGGTGGACTATTACCTACCGAACGAGTGAATTATTTTTCGCTGCTTCTAACAAAAATTTATAAATTTATTTATCATATGAATAATCTTGTAAGTTGTAACAATTCAGAAATCATTGGAAGTTATTCTTCGATGTAATGTACTGATATATAATAAAAATCTCTCAGATTTTAACCAAAAAGCATAAACCTCAATATCATAGCAATTTAATTTCTCTGAAACCGTATCCCAGGCCACTGGGATTGAAGCGAGAAAAGCCAGCGGATGAGAGGCAGACCATCCAAAGTGATTGTAGTTTGCCAACAAGGCTCTGTTTTTTTATTATGGAACGAAGGAGGTGAAGCTATTAGACCAAAGCACACGGTGTCACACAGGAAGGAAATGGGTACTGAAACCATTAAAAGAACACCCAACAATTTATTGGGTACTGTACGAAGTATTTGAAATACGGGAAAGAAATACCATTCGGGTAATATTTCTAAAGGAGTTGCGAATGGATCTGCCGGTTCACCAATCATTGATGGTTCTAGAACCGCCGAGCCGGATCTGGTCTATCATAAGGGATTTGCCTTTTCTATTGATTCCTACGGATTGGATCAAAAAAAATTCTTGAATGGGGTATTCAACTCCAGGGATGAATCGAAAAAGAAATCTTTATTGGTTCTGTAATGCATTGTATGTCCCATAATAGGTCCCATTCTTCTACCCTTTATAGGATGGACTTAGTGTTGGTAAATATCCATTCTTCCTTCCATCCCTCATCTCTCTACAATTATATGCTTCAAGCTCGTAGTCCAATCCATTACAGCCCGGCAGTCTAACAGGCGTAGATTACACTAGAACTTGCTTTCAGAAGTCAATTTGAAAAGTCCGAAGGAGCTCGACCATAAGAGAGAGGAATGAAAGGAAGTAAGCGCAGTAAGTAAAGAAAGTAGGTACGGTTTTAGTACCATTGGTCTTAACTGAGTAAGCCCTTTCGTCAGAAACAGCTATCTCTGCCCGGAGAAAGGGGTTCTTCTTATCAACGGGGACTAAGTTCTTCCTGCGGCTCGGATGAGTATTCTTGTTTATATCGCAACGGCTATAAACACTTTTTTGTTCCTATTAACAAAGCATCCCCTTTTTCTTCGCTCTTCCGGAACCGGTATAGAAATAGGTGCTTTTTTTACGTTGTTTACCTTAGTTACTGGGGGGTTTTGGGGAAGACCTATGTAGGTGATTGACTACCGAAGCAAAGAAAAGGCTGGATCAAGAAAAGGGGGTACTACGAGCCCTCTGCCCCACGCATCTAACCAGCTCGCGCGGTTCACCGGTTCCACCAACTAGACTCTTAGACTGTGGAATCGCTAGTAATCGCGGATCAGCATGCCGCGGTGAATATGTACCCGGGCCCTGTACACACCGCCCGTCACACCCTTCCCGAAAAGGAATCTATTGATTCTCTCCCAATTGGTTGGACCGTAGGTGCGATGATTTACTTCACGGGCGAGGTCTCTGGTTCAAGTCCAGGATGGCCCAGCTGCGCCAGGGAAAATAATAGAAGAAGCATCTGACTACTTCATGCATGCTCCACTAGGCTCGGGGGATATAGCTCAGTTGGTAGAGCTCCGCTCTTGCAATTGGGTCGTTGAATTACAATCAAATTGCATTGGGGCGCTTACCGACATCCGTAAGTGATGATTACACCATTCGAACAATTTCGAATTTACCTAAAATCGAAAATGTCTAAAAACCTCGATTTGATTTTGATTCAAAACAACTAATTAAAAGTTTGGATTGATGAAATGATTCTTCTCTTTGGGCGGCTTTCATGCGCTCGAAATATGGCTCGAGGCATTACTTTAATCTTATGACACCAGGTTCACAATTTTGACGGAGATTACTTGCGTAGGCTGCCCCCTAGTCCGATCCCATTGCCGGAGGAGCCTCTTCCTCAACCCGTGGCGCCGCTGGTGCCTCGCCCCATTATAGCGGAATTAGCCCAACCTCTTCTCTCGGATGAAATGAGAAGTAACGTCCTTTATCGTCGGTACTTGCTTCTCAATTGGGGGGGGGATCTCGACCTGCGACGTATGGTATCCATTATCGACGCTCAAGTCATAGTGGAACGATATGTGGTGGTGTTTTTCAAAAATCAAACTTTGTTGTTCAGCATCTTGCACTAGGCATCCTTTTGAAGGTATTGTTAAAAGATCATCAATTCCTGATCCGGGAATAGCGACATGCACTAAATGCCCTGTCCAAGCCAAAGAACTTACGCCGAAAAGTCCTGACAAATGGTGATTCAGAGAAGTTATTCACTCTCATGATTACAGAACGAAATCTGGAGAAAATAATGGAACTCTCGCCTTACCAGCATATCCGGGAAGAGGCGGAACTACACGAAAACTTTCTTTATGGATAACCAATTACAAATTTATGGTGATCCGACATACTCTGATTTTCAGTTTATGGAAACTACTTCTTTTTTTCCTTCCACAGGAAGGGTCGATATCAGTTCTTCTACTATGTCGGAAGCGGAAAGTGCTTCCCCAAATTCTGATCAATTGTTTGATCAAATTTGTGTTGAATACAGCAAGTTGGTCCAGGAAAATGGGAAGGTATTACCTACGGAATGGAGTATGCCTGACCTTGTTCGGACCATCTTTTCGGGTGAACATCTTAACCACGACTTTCTTGGTATATGCCTACTATGATGTCGTGTTATGTGGCACTCGTAGTTGGGGAGGCGAGGAACTCCTTAATTTGATTGATCTAATCACCTATACATTTCAATCAAGTAAAGGAGATCAAAGTTCACTCTAATCAATTGATCAACATTAGCTTAGCCAAAGGCTTACCGGCCCGACCCGCAGGTAACTAGGGCACTATTGGCCGATGGCTTTTCGTAACTCTTCTCGAACTGTATAGAAGAATTCGGGACTCCTGGCATTAAACGCTCTATCAAGAAAGCCTTCCTAACTGGTAGACGCCTCCCTTTCCCCCAGATGAATGAAGAAGGAAGTGGATTCCTCCGAAGAGCCGGAAGCGAAAAGCGCTATGCCGGGGCGGGGGGACGGGAAAAGAAAGGGCTCCGAAGAAAGAAATTGGGGTTCCCAACGCTTCTCCACGCTCAACGAAATGCGCCAACCTCGGAATGCTTTACTCGAGCAGATCGGATGTTTTCACGTCTCACCGTAGTGCCCGGTTTGTCTTGATTGACGATTGATGAACAAGAAGGAAAATGGAAACTCTTTTTTGACTCGCCCCCGGCTACGTGTCCTTTGGACCCTTCGCCCGCCCGCCACCAGTGGGAAGCAAGCTAGTCCCCTATGTTGGTTGGGGGAAGAGGGCATTTCCATGTTGATTATATCAAAATTAGATTCACTAAAATTTTTATCTTACCATGGGTAGGGATACTATTGCCGAGATAATAACCTCTATACGAAATGCGGATAGGGATAAAAAAAGGGTAGTTCGAATAACCTTTACTAATATTACGGAAAAGATTGTTAAAATACTTTTACAAGAAGGTTTTATTGAAAATGTGAGAACACATCGAGAAAATAACAAAAATTTTTTGGTTTTAACATTACAACACGTAAGAACTACAAAAATACCCTATAGAAATATTTTAAATTTAAAACGGATCATCGACCCGGTCTACGAATTTATTCCAACTCTCAACGAATTCCTCGAATTTTAGGCGGGATGGGGATTGTAATTATTTCTACTTCTCGAGGTATAATGACAGACCGGAAGCCCGGCTAGAGGGAATCGGCGGAGAGATTTTGTGTTATATATGGTAGTCCGTGTAATATACAAATTGGATCTGAAACGTACTATTTGTAATTGTAAAAAAAAAACAAAAGAAAAGAGATGAATTGTCCAATATTGTTCCTCCTACATTAGTTTATACTTCGCAGAGGTTTTACTTTTACCTCTAATGAACAAACAAAAAAGGATACATCAAGATTTAATTAGTTACTCGCCTGCTAACCGCATGTTCCGAGGTACTTTAGATACTGAAGGCACGGTTCTAGGTTATGTTTCAGGAATGATTCGATGTGGTAGAGCGCGGCAAGGAAGACTTGCCGGGGTGTAGGTTCAATTCCTACCCGAGATTGCTTCCTTACGGAAGCTGGAAAGAGTTGACCCGTTAACTCTCCTCTAACTTGAGTAGCTTGATGCTCCTATGACAGTCCTAGTTGGAACTCGTACCCCCCCCTCGCTATCTATCGTCAGTTATTGTCCCAGGCGAGGAACTGCTTGTATCAGACCTGATTCTCGCGCAGGGAACAAGCGAGCGTAGGCCCTGCCCTTCACCCAGTAAGAAGTGCTTTTCTTGGCGAAGTGAGGCGATCGGCGGTGAGCTCCCTCTAAACTCTAGAGGCTATGATAACATATCATATTAGGATTAACCGAATCAGCTGCGTAGCCCTCTTTCACAGGAGAGGTGTGGCGGCATAGCCTGCTTCCAGAAAGTAATTCATGTTGAAGGTGGTCGCCCATTTACTTAGTTTTAAGCACTTCTTCTTATATGCTCGATTTTAGCCTTGCTGGGCCTTTCCCTCCCGTTAGCTTAGCTTGGCTTTAGTTAGAAAAACGTCTTTGGGCACGTATAGAGCCTTTAATTAGTCCTCTTCGGAAATCCGACTGTTGCGAATAGCGCATCAAAGCTGCCTCGTTCGCCGTATTATTATCCGCAGGATTAGAACCGTACGAGAAAGACAATCTGAGCAAATGATGGTATAGCAATGAACATCAGGATGATACTAGGAAATATAGTCCAAAGAATCTCGATAGTAGTTCCATGAACAATCCTTTGCGGGATTGGATTTTTTTTATAGTGGAAATGCCATAAAGTGCGAAGCGCCCTATCTACAGAGGAGAGACAGCCGCTCAAACACCATTCCATTGGTGGAGTCCGTCCGACCACGAGAGAAAGCTATGCGAGTGGATTTCTTCGACTCAACCTTATTGTCACTTCCACCTGGGACCAGCTCCCCATGGAAAGATAAAGTCGACTGGTTGGAGAGGACGGGGCAGACAACTACAAGACCAAGCCAATTGGATTCCCGGTTGTATCGACTCCTGTTTCATATGATGAGTTTTAAAAAAAGAAATTTCGGGTCATGGAATGAAAATATGAGACACCAGGTTCAGGCAAATCATACTTGATAGTAGCCAGTCGATACTCGAAAGCAGGCTAGCTCTATCTCTCAATTACCTATCCTGTGCTCGAGAAGGTCCCTCAGTTCCTCGGCAGCACCTCGAGGTGCATTTAATTGTCTTACATGGGACTCGGGATATTCCCTCCTCCATGGCATGACACCTTTCGCTCATTCATTGCGCCCTTTCTCATTATCATCTACCGCCCTTTCTTTCCTCCCGGCTATTTACGCATGAAGATCGTCCTATGTATGCTCGACTTCGGTTGCGGTGCTATAGGTAGGAGTCAATTATGGCAGATCGGTCACCCGGGCAAACAACCCTCCTCCAAGAAGAATTGTGCTATGCCCCCGGATCCCTATAGAGCGAAAGAGCTGCCTGGTGATCCCTAGGTTGCAGCACGTCCGGCCGTTAATTCCTCGCGACGCTGCCGCCGTTTCTAGGACCGACCGACGCCTCACCGCACAGTACCTACATAGTCTAATGTCGGTCGCACATTCAACATAGCGTTCGGACTCATGTGCCTTCCATAACCGGGGTCTTCGAGCTGCTGCGTACGATTAGCCAGCCTTGCGGCGGCAAAGGATTAGACGTCCCCATGCTATGGTTCCCTACGGTCCAAACCGGTGCCGTATTAGGTTAGGGAACTGGACGATAATAGCTCCTCCGCATCCCAAACCGCGCTGCCCTCCTAGGCGCGCAACACTAAGTAATCCAAGCCAACCCACATCTTGACTAACGGTGGATAATCATATTTCTTAGATGTACTAAAAACAACTCCATGAATGAGTAAAATGAAGGTTGCATTAATGATAAAGATCTCTGGGGAAACCGCTAAAAAAAGATTGAACATGTGGGAGGATCCGAACAAATTCTGCTTTCATTTCCCCCGTATGGAGCACTGTGTTACTTACGCTACGGCCTTTAGCAGGCCCTCCCTCTTTCTCTATGGATCGAGCATATCAGGTGCCGCTCTACCGCACCAATGCAAGTTATGAAATAATAGGTGTTCCCCCGGTGTCTTTCTAGAATCTTCGTGTAATCAAAGTCTTACATCGGATATGCGAGTTTATTCCATTCTATAAACGTTGATATGCGAAAAAATTTTCTGATACATTGTAAAAATTCAAAAACAAGACTAGGAATCATTGAAGAACAGGATTAAGAATCATTACTCTTTCGGCACAAGAAAGAGTTTCGAAAATTCCCTTTCTTGTGTCGAAGACTACTCGGAAGACGAATACTCTCTCCTAGCATTATACGTTTCCCGCATTTATCCGTTCTTTCTATATAACATAACCAATTACTTCTGCCTAGTATTTAATCCAATTGGATTAGATTGTGAATCAAAAATCTTCGGGCAATTCGTCGTTCATGCAGTTGTCGCTGGAGATTGAGCTTAGTGCTAGGCTTCCGCCATCTTAGTGGTACTAGTCTAATAAACTTTCACCTTAAAACCATGACAGCAGGAGTTTGGTTCCTTCTATGTAGAGCTCACTGGCAGGATTCTGTAATTCTAAAAGAAGATTGAGCGCGGGGTCAGCACACCCAGGCCATCAAAACTCCGTGTGCGAGGTCAGTGCTCTTCTCGATTCTATTCTAGGCCGATGACTTTTCTCTTATCCCAAATTAGACCCAGACCGGGGTTTCCAACCTCAAGATGAGGTGTCCCCGGCACCCCCATTTAGAAAGAAGGGTTGAAGGAAATTTTAGGTCTGTAGCTTTCTCCGCCCCCCCTTCGTCAGGCGGTGCTTGTGTAACGGGAGAATCCCATCCCTTAGCCGGAAAGCTATGTGGCCACGAAAGGTGGATTAAGTGGAACAGAATTGACTGGGCGGTAGAGTCGTGGAAACGTTTCTTTCTTCCATATTTTGGACCTTAGCTCCATGGAACAATATGTTACTGCTGAAACACGGAAGAATTGAAATCGTAGATCAAAACACTATGTATGGATGGTATGAACTGCCTAAACAAGAATTCTTGAACAGCGAACAACCAGTTCAGATATTCACAACCAAGAAGTACTAGATTCTCTTCTCTTTCGGATAGGCCCTGAAAGGAGAAGGAAGGCTGGAATGCCAACAGGCGTCTATACAATCGTAGGACGAGGGCCGGAGCTCTGCTTCGGTCCACCACCTGGAGCCCCTTTCACCGCAACAAAAACATAAGAAAAGGGGCTGCGTTAGGAGTTTGAGCTCGAGTTCGAGTTCGAGTTCCTGCAGCTAAACAACAAGCGATCTGCAGCTAGGTCTAAACCGAACTGCAGCTAAGCAGACTAACCTAGAAACTCTTCCTTTTGTCGCTACGCTCTTTTGTAACAACACCTAGGAAAAGCCTATAAGTAACGGATTGGAGAGAGGGCTGCCTACGGACAGGTAGCCCGAACGAGGTAACCACTCTCTCCCGCCCGGACTACCAAAAAGGTAGGGCGGGAGAGAGAGAGAGAGAATATAGGGGAGCGACGCTCAAGAGGAGTGACGCAAGGAACGAAGCGTAGAGCTAGCCTTCCTTGCAGCTAATAGAATTAATGTCTTCGTAGAAGCATTTAATTCGTTTCCGGAGAGAAGAATTATAGTCTTCAGAGAAGCTATAATTCGTTATTAAGTACCGGACTTCCGGTTACAAAAAAAAGAGCGGCGCTCTTAGGCTTTGGCGCTTTTTTTCATTCAAAGCGGGATGCTTGCTAGACTGATAAGCCAGAGAGGGAGGAGGGGTCTTTCGTGGGGACTTCCCCCCCTAAAATAAGATTTGATTTATTGCTTCAAGGCGCTACGAAGTTCTATTATTACTGTCCTATGCGGAGGGAGCAGGAAGAATTTCGTTCTAGTGGGTTATTTCTCCTCTAAGATATGACTCTTGCTTTCCAATTGGCTGTTTTTGCATTAATTGCTACTTCGTCAATCTTATTGATTAGTGTGCCCGTTGTCTTTGCTTCTCCCGACGGTTGGTCAAGTAACAAAAATGTTATATTTTCCGGCACATCATTATGGATTGGATTAGTTTTTCTAGTTGGGAGTTTTCTTGAGAGAACTCCTTTCTTTATTTAGTGTACCTACTTGAGCCGGATGAGAGGAAATTTTCACGTCCGATTTTTGGGGGGGGGAGATCTTATAGTATCCTATCCCAATTTTTCTTTTGCTAGGCCAATAACTAAAAAACCCACTTTCTTACGATTACGAGGTTTATTCGAATATGAAATTCAATCTTGGAAATATAGCATACCACTTTTTTTTACTACCCAGGGCTTCTATACATTTCGAAATCGAGAAATGTCTACTGGTGCGATTGCTATCAGAGAACAATTAGCTGATCTAGATTTACGAATTATTCTAGAAAATTCGTTAGTAGAATGGAAAGAATTGGGGGAAGAGGGTCCCACAGGGAATGAATGGGAAGATCGAAAAGTTGGAAGAAGAAAGGATTTTTTGGTTCGACGTATGGAACTGACTAAGCATTTTATTCGAACAAATATAGACCCCGAGTGGATGGTTTTGTGTCTATTACCAGTTCTTCCTCCTGAATTGAGACCAATCATTCAGATAGCTGTCTCTTCGCTATACCCGAGTCTCGGTACTAAAGCCTAGTACTGTGTAATTGCGTGGGTAACCCTCCTCAGTGATGCGGAGAGTGGGACTATACAGCTTCAGCTGTAAAAATTCCAAAATGGGTATGCCTGTCTACATTACCACCCTAGAGAAGAATTTGTGTCTCTTCCCATTGCCCTTCGAAAAGGTAAAGGTCTTTGATCTTTCAAAGTTGTAAGTCAACGTGTCTGTACTCGGAGGAGACTGTGTAACGAGCGGAGGCTCGAATGCTTTCATGGTTGGAAGGGAAGGCTAGCACACATCGTTTCTCTAAGAAGAAGTTAGTTTCACGATGACCTACCCAAAGCGGAAGCTCTTCCTTGACATCTGCGGGCTCTGAGGGTGACAGCATCGAATCTTCAGTACCTCCGGACGAAGGATAAAGTCACTGCCGGATCTCCCACCGACATGGTGTGCTCTGTCACAGGCGTGGCATAGCTATGCACTTGTTTGTGGCAAGCGTCTGAAGGTTGGGCAAGAGTTCTGGATGTCGGTTTACTGTATTCTATTTGAAGCAGTGTGCGTCATCCTTCGATCTGATGTGGTTTAATTCGATGCAAAGCGAAGAACCTTACCAGGGCTTGACATGCCGCGAACCCTCTTGAAAGAGAGGGGTGCCTTCGGGAACGCGGACACAGGTGGTGCATGGCTGTCGTCAGCTCGTGCCGTAAGGTGTTGGGTTAAGTCCCGCAACGAGCGCAACCCTCGTGTTTAGTTGCCAGAGATGATTTGATTAGCTTGGGAGATTGTATCAATCTATTTGATGAGATCACAGGGCTCGAAGCTAATCTTGGAAAAGACACAGTCTTCTTTGCTGGGGTTGAAGATAGAGACAAGGAGTCTTGAGATTCTAGGGTTCCCAGAAGGCGCAGCCTGCCCTTCTTTGATTCAGGTGTAGTGTAGTCAGGGCTAAGCCCCTGATCACAACCAAGCGGAAGAGTCTATCATGTCGGAGAAACTACCTTAGATATTAAATTGGAAGATCTACGTGACCAAATTTTCCTGTTCCAAAAAAGTACCTCTTTTACGTTTTCTTAACATAACAGCGGCTATATGCTTTTTTCCAGCACTCGAACGAAAAGCAGAAGGAGCCGCTTCAAGGTCTTCGGCAACGAGTTCAACTGCTGACCCAAGTGGAGATCAAAGAGCTGCATCTCAATCTACGCAATAACCATTTTTATTTTCAAATAATATTAATTAAATATAATTAATTATTCGATCTAGAAATTTGTTGGAAAAAAAAGGCCCGGCTAGTCTCCAAAACCCGATGCCGTAGGTTCAAATCCTACAGAGCGTGATTCTTTAGTCTCAGGGTCAAAATTAGATAGACTGAGTAGATCTAGTTCAGTAATTCACAAAGGTTCAGAAAGGGAAAAAGGGGATAGGTGCAGAGACTCAACGGAAGCTGTTCTAACAAATGGAGTTGGATGCGTTAGTCGATAAGTCTTTCCAGGAAAAATTCCTTCAGTATTTTCAGTATTTAAGGATAATAGGATTTGGCTCAGGATTGCCCCTTTTTATTAATTCCAGGGTTTCTCTGAATTTGAAAGTTCTCACTTAGCGGGTTTCCATACCAAGGCCCAATCTAATTAAGTCCGTAGCGTCTACCGATTTCGCCATATCCCCCTTCGTCTTGTGTTGAGATTTAAATTTTAAGACAAGGAATAACAAATATGAAAATAAGAGCTTCGGTTCGTAAAATTTGTGAAAAATGCCGGCTAATCCGTAGGCGGGGGCGAATTATAGTAATTTGTTCTAACCCAAGACATAAACAAAGGCAGGGATAATCAGACTCGCTAAAGAAATAACATACATACATAACATAAAATAAATAAAAAAGAAGGAATTTTTTTTAACATGAAATGGATAAGCGGCCTTTTATTCCCTTGTTTCGTCGTGGCACACCCCCCCCACAAGCACCCCCCGGCTCAGGGGGGACCAGAAAAGGCATGTCCATCTATTCTATGGCGAAGCATCCGAAGCATAACTGCACACTCACACGATCTTTGCCGAGAGATAGGAGCATTCGGTGGAACCGGTGAACTACACTTGCTTCTGGATAGATGTGTGGGACAGAGGGCTCATGGTACCTGCTGCCCACCCTTCCTCCGGTGTTTTGAAAACCGTGTGAACGGAGAGTGGGCGAAGAGAAGGAGGTCCTCATATGGAGTCGCACACTTACTTGAGCAATGCGGGAGGCGGAGAATAGGTCGAGTAAACCCCTAGGGCCGGAAATAGAGAACCAAGCCCCCTCTATTGCATAACCTAAAAAGCTATAAACAAAGTAGTACCCAAGTGGTTGTTGCGGGAACGATACGCTTTGGTTACCGCGAATGAAGCTATTAGATAAGGCGACCAGCTTTCAATACTAGTTGTTACCTTACGGTGCCATTTTTCCAATCTTATTGAATAGCATGGCACGGGGCTAAGATAACTCAAGTGGGGAGCCGTGTTATGGGTAACCTTATTGCACGGTTCGAGAGCACTTGTGTATGTGATGCAAGTGAACGTGTACGAAAAAGCTGTCGTAAAGTTTCGTTGTTCGTTCCGTCGTTGACCCTATCTATGTTTCTATGATGGCCCAAGAACACGCTTATTCTTCAGCCGTAGAGAGACTTTTGAATTGTGAGGTACCATTACGAGCTCAATATATACGAGTGTTATTCCGTGAAATAACTCGAATTTCAAACCATTCACTTGCTTTAACTACTCATGCTATGGATGTGGGAGCATCAACTCCGTTCCTGTGGGCTTTTGAGGAGCGAGAGAAATTGTTGGAATTCTATGAAAGAGTCTCGGGGACTATCTTAAAGAGGAACCTCATGTAAATACCATGGAATAAAATAAGGGTTGATCAAAGCATATAGATCCGTAAATAGATTTGTATGTATAGCCACTTCAGTCGTGCTCGTCCTTTCCCGAAAGTATCTTTTTTCTGGGAACATGGTCAACCAGAAATTATTATGTTCGTGATTCTTCATCCACCGATGCAGAAAATGCTCCAGTTTTCCATTCTCATATGCGGCTGGAAAGTGGATTGGCACCAGGTTGGCACGAAATGATTCATCATGCTCAAACATGAGCCGATCGTTTGTTAGAGACGGTTTATAAATCATCAAATTCCCACAAATGGAATGAAAAGTGGGTCCATGTAAATGATCGAGACTTCGCAAACAACAACGCTCCTTCCCCATATGGAGTTCGGAACCCAAGGGCAATCGTTGAGTGAACTGTATCTTCTTTGTGTTAGTTGACCTAAGCCGCACCCGACTGGGGTGGGGCTCGGCCTCCGAACCGTACGTGAGACGAGTTTCGCCTCATACAGCTCGGGCCGAAGACCGGGGAAGTTTAGGAGAGATGAGGAAAGCTAGCACTGCCGGTCGGGACGAGGATAAGCTTGCTTCTTCACATTATCCCCCAAAAACGACCCTTCCGCGCTAGCGCTCGCGTTCTTTCTATTCCATTACGGGCTGGACTTCTAATAGCTTCGTTCGTTCGGCTAATACTAATTTAATAAGTGAAGTCGTCGACCAATCGGCTCAAACACCAGACCGCCCATTTTGTCTCGACCTAAATAGAATGGCTCTCTTAGTTACGCTGCGCCCGATCGAGTCCCCACGTCCGCTTTTTCCGCCCGCAACCCAAGAAGTTGGCTTTGCCAACACAACATTAGGGCCGCCCCTTCATTCTATGCGACCCGGCCCGGGCTGGCTTTTGGGAAGCCCGTTCCCACCGCGCTCACGGCCCGGCTGGCTCGACAGCGTTAGTGGGAATTTCCCCGTTCCCTGGTCAAAGACTTGGTTGGATGCGGGATCTACTCCACGAGGAGCGGTACGGACGTAGATGATATCATCACGACCCCTTTTATTGGCATTACTATAGTGGGATTTCAAAAAAATGGGCTTCATTTTTTAAGCTTTTTATTACCCGCAGGAGTCCCACTGCCGTTAGCGCCCTTTTTAGTACTCCTTGAAGCTATTAGATTAGATAAGCCGGCCGATAGGCGAAAGAGAATCCACTAGTTTAGTTCTGATCTGAGTAGGCTCATAATAGGGAATACCCTAACCCCGGGAACCGGGGCCTGGCCATCCTTCGTTTGCAGTCGACGTTCCGGCTTTGCCCGTCGACAGCCAAATCTTTCGATCTCGTTCGATTCATGATCGCATCTGCAAACCTTATCCCGTTAGCCATCGGCCAATAGTGCCCTAGTTACCTGCGGGTCGGGCCGGTAAGCCTTTGGCTAAGCTAATGTTGATCAAAAGCAATCATATTAGGGGTCTTACACACCCATCAGGTCAGATCAAGGAGGGTTGGTGTGGCACCTAAGGCAAAACCTGAACTCACATTCTTCGGACTCGCCCTTCGGAAATTTTGAATCATGGGTACAGGACCCCTTACACGTAAGACCTATTGCGCATGCAATTTGGGATCCTCATTTTGGTCAACCGGCTGTGCCTCTTTTAGAGGTGTTCCAGAAATGTCTGCGGTCGAGTAAATAGCTCTACGAACGAATCGATCGGATCGACTTAGAAAATGGAAAGATTGGTACAAGTTATACGTTTCGTCACCACTTTGTGGAAAATCATTAGGTATGAATATGTTAGATACCTGTGACTCGATTGGTGAAATAGTATCTCTCCCCCAAAAAGCATGTTTTTTTTTACCGACGCCCAAAGAAAATATTTTGTTGCGAATGAACAAGATATTGAGGAATTGTCGATACGTAAAATCATAATTGTTGATCCGGGCCTTTTCCAAAGAAAAGGGGAATCTTGTCTTACAATAGAAGCAAAAGTGATGTGGATTATTCAAGAATCGAAGTCGATTTGCTTTATAAAACGAAGATATCAATGAACTTTTATGAAATGGTTTCGCGGGATTCAGCCAATTGTCTTGATCGTGGAATATCAGTGAGAAATAGGAATCCGTGTTATCCAAGGATTTCCCGCGATCCTTTGAAGTGCGTTAGACATCATGCTTTTTCTTCGGAATTGCCAAGGAGTCACTGAGTGCGTTTTGGAAGCAGAAAGAAGACATACATCTACTACATATAAAGTAAAGACGGACGACCGGGATCTAAGATCGTCGATTCCCGTAGTCTAACCGAATTCATTCCTTGGCACCAGTCGTTGGGCTGTTTTTTCCTTTCCCTTCACTCGGATTTCTTCTGTTTCATCCATTTTGTATTTGTACGGATTCTCTTTTTCTTCCGAAAAAAGTGAAGAAGAATCTTCTTCACTTTTTTCGGGAGTTATTTCACTTTCATCATCTACATCCCTTTCTTCTTCACTTTCCACCCCTTCTTCCGCTTGTGAGGTTTCTTTCAGTTTCTTAGTAAGAATTGGGGACGGCATTCTTCCTAAATAGTAGATACAGGTAATAAATAAGAGAATACGGTTGGGATATGATATTGAGGAAATTTATGCTTCCAATTGCTCATCTTTCAATCCCAGGTTCAGATATATTAACCATTTCTTTATTTTCCGATCGCCTGGAAGGGACAAAAGAAAGATCTTGTTGTTTCTTCAACAATTTTGGATCTCTAGTGAACCCCTCAGTAGGATTCGAACCCAGATGAAGTTCTGACCATCTATCAGAGAAAAAAGAACGAACGGATCTTGTAGGATTCCCAAGAAATTCTTCGATTTCTTCCTTGAGCTCTTCTTTTAGTTCTAGCACAGCCCTATCGCAAATTCTCTCATCTAGTTTCGTATACTACACTCGATCCCCTATTGGTTCAACCAACGGCTTGTTGCTCACCTGAGTGCGCTAGTGCAATTAAGGAAGCCGCACAATGCCAAATGAGATCTCTGGGCTTCCCGTGTATTCATCCAAATCTGAGCCATGAGAAAGTTATAGACACGTTCACGAAACCGGAAGTCTTTCGATCCCATGCAGTCAATGCCAATGGGTGTGCTTAAGAGCTGGTGGCAACCAAATACACACCTAACCCAGGCTGACTCCTAATAGCTTCACTTCGTTCGTTCCATAGGAATGAATGTGAACCAATTGTTGACAGAGATGATTTGATTAGCTTGGTAGCCAAGTGCGGAGCGGATAACTGCTGAAAGCATCTAAGTAGTAAGCCCACCCCAAGATGAGTGCTCTCCTATTCCGACTTCCCCAGAGCCTTCGGTAGCACAGCCGAGACAGCGACGGGTTCTCTGATACCCTGTAATACCACCACGGCGGGGGGGTCGGCGGAGTCCTTTAGTTCTTACCGTGCCCGAGTCCCAATCACAGCCTTCTTGTCATGTCCTAACTGCATCAATATCTAGCCTTTTCTTAATCCCCAAGGTAAGACTCCCTAACCCAAACCAGAGACCAAAGCAGGGCTCGACAAAACAGAAAGTATCATAGTACGTCGTCCTTCCCTGAAATGGAACTTTCATGCTAGTTCTTGCTCCAGCATGAAAGTAGATCTATTACGACCAGCGCGAAATCGAGAAATGTCTACTGGTGCGATTGCTATCAGAGAACAATTAGCTGATCTAGATTTACGAATTATTCTAGAAAATTCGTTAGTAGAATGGAAATAATTGGGGGAAGAGGGTCCCACAGGGAATGAATGGGAAGATCGAAAAGTTGGAAGAAGAAAGGATTTTTTGGTTCGACGTATGGAACTGACTAAGCATTTTATTCGAACAAATATAGACCCCGAGTGGATGGTTTTGTGCACGCTTTTTGATTTCACAATTTTCTTACTTCACTTCAATTGAAGTGGTTTTCGCTTTTCCTCCATCCTTTGATCTTGAGGCCTGTCTAATATGATGATAGCTATACTGCATAAACCCCGTATTTTTGATTTGGCTTCCGAATTCTACTTGATCGTCGCAGCTCTTGTCTTCTATCTTCACTACCAATTTCCTGTTGACTTGGTCGAGTATCTTCAGGGAGCATCAACTCCGTTCCTGTGGGCTTTTGAGGAGCGAAGCTCTTAAAAAGATAGGTCCCGCTAAGGTGGGGAAGGAATGCAAGCGACCTGTAAGCTTCTGGGAGTTCTGCTCCAGCCTGTCTCAGCCCTTTCTTCTGATCCGATCCCGTGCCTCAGCTTCCTCCTACATTAGTTTATACTTCGCAGAGGTTTTACTTTTACCTCTAATGAACAAACAAAAAAGGATACATCAAGATTTAATTAGTTACTCGCCTGCTAACCGCATGTTCCGAGGTACTTTAGATACTGAAGGCACGGTTCTAGGTTATGTTTCAGGAATGATTCGATGTAGTTTTTTATGGACACTACTAGGAACTAGAATCCAAATTAACTTAAAATAAGTTATTCTGATTCAAGCAGGAGACGCACAACACGAGATGAACCTTGGTTTGGTGAATTGAAGTTGGCCTTAGGTCTAATAGGACTCTCAGTTACTGCGCGCGATCGTATACTGAGGTGCTCCCCGCCGGTTGTTGGAACGACGCGAGCCGGGCCGGGTTATGTAGATCCAAAATGATGAATGGGATTGTGGCAGGTCACTCGCCGCCAATGCGGAAGGATGCCACCGAAAAGAATGGAACACTGTTTTGCTCTGTTGGATGCCTTGGATCCCGTATAACAAGTGAGCTCTTTACCCTCAAATTCAAAGATGTGGGCGCAAAATGCTATCCTGCTCTATTGTTACGTAGCAATAGAAGCCTGCTTCGGCGGCGCTTTTTCGCCTTCTCTTCGCTCTGGACAAGAGCGCTAGTGGACACGGGGGGGGAGCAGGCGAAGCGTGTCGTTCGTAATGGAAAGAAAGATACCACTACTTCGCCTCTTTGTTGGAATTATTCCAAGTATTTCAGCTGGAACAGCTATGTACATTTTCGATTTTCTATTTACTCATGATCTGGACTGGGCGACCCAATCATGATATTGAAGAATGGGGCCTTTTCTCGAAAAACTCCGGCTCAGCGGGCTTCCTATAAATGAGGCCCTTCTTGCATGGGCTTGGGCTTGCTTTGATGATGGGGTAGGCTTGTTGTGCTTTTGCCCTTCTGTGGGCTTTCATCGAAACAGGCCCGAGTCTTCATTTGTAGGACTTTATTTGTGATGGTTCATGTAGGCTTGGGTCTTTCATTCGGGCCTTCATGAAGATGGGCACCCCGGGGGCCAATGCGTAGTTGCTTGGGCTTTCTTAACGTGGCGGGGAATTCTTACTATCCATGGAGATGCTGATAGGGAAACAACTTTCTTCGAGGTGAAGGATGACAATGCAGGATTTAATCTAACCGGGTTCCAGTTTGTTAATGCTATAGAAAGGGTACCCCCTTTATTTTTATCCTATGCAAATCATTACGTGGCTCATATAGAGATGGGACATTTCCTGGACTTGGCTTGGGGAGAAAGAGCAAGGGGTCACCAAACTTTGTGAATCACAAGGCAACTTATAGGTGGGTTATGTTCCAACCGAAGAAGACAAGGCTGCCTAGGTAGATGGGCGAAAGAGAGAAGAGGGTTTGCCCCATATTCCAAAAGAATGGCAATTTTTAAAAAGAGAAGGTTCCAATTTTCCTTTATGTGGTTTTCCGAGCCGTGGTACGATCCGAGGAGCGGGAAATGTTATCCGAGTGGAGGTCTTCGCCGATGTGGAGGTCAATTGGGTGGTGGAGGTACTGTTCAGCTTGTGCTTGTTGATCCAAATTTTCATTAACAGGAGCCTCATCATTAGTTGCATCATCTTGAGCTTCAGGTTCATCTCCCCCGTGATCATCACGAACATAAGGAACAGGGTCTTACTATGGATACGAATCTCCATCCGGTGGCTCTGGATCTACCTCTTTTCGCCGGTTCTTATTTGGATAAGCTGCGGGATCAACGGCTGGATCGGCTGGAACTACACTGGGCTATGGAACTAAAATGGAAGCTAGAGAATGCTGGATCAACCGGCGAGACTTACTGTGCCGAGAGCACCAATAGATAGCCATGCTAGATCCCTCAACAGCCGCAGTTTCCCTCGTTTTCAGAGGGATTAATAGTAGGAATTCTTCAAGGGGGTTGAAAACACTCGCATAGATTCCTGATTAGGGCCACCCTTCGAATTCTGATTTAAAGACGCTCTCAAGAAAGTTTCTTTTATAAGACCTGAATGGAGCCTTTTAACACGAGTTAGATATTGAAGGTAGTATCTACTGAGGTTATATATAACTAAAAGGGCAAGGATCACATTCTTAGTGCCAAGTAAGAAGCCACCTCCCTGGGCTAGTGTTTTTACAAGAAATCTCTAGCCAACCTTCCTGCAAGAGATCTTTTCTTAACACCAGCCTATTGGGACTAGTAGAGTCGTATTAACTCATAATACAGAAGAGAACTCTCTAGGCGTAACCTTCCGCTGAATATATAATCAATCTCGGGTGCTCTTCGACTTACTGGATCTGGAAAGTGCTGGTTCTCGCATCCCTGTGCCCAAAAGCGAGGGAGCGAGTGGAGTAGTAGAAAGGAGTGGAACTCTAGGGATAACAGGCTGATCTTCCCCAAGAGCTCACATCGACGGGAAGGTTTGGCACCTCGATGTCGGCTCTTCGCCACCTGGGGCTGTAGTATGTTCCAAGGGTTGGGATGTTCGCCCATTAAAGCGGTACGTGAGCTGGGTTCAGAACGTCGTGAGACAGTTCGGTCCATATCCGGTGTGGGCGTTAGAGCATTGAGAGGACCTTTCCCTAGTACGAGAGGACCGGGAAGGACTCTCTTTAACAGAATATATCATCTCTTGCTACGGAGCCCGCAAGGGGGTTGTGGATACTGCTGTACGAACATCAGATGCCGGATATCTTACACGCAGACTTGTTGAAGTAGTTCAACACATTGTTGTACGCCGAACCGATTGTGGGACCGCCCGGGGGATTTCTCTGAGTCCTCGGAATGGGATGATGCCCGAACGTTTTTTTATTCAAACATTAATTGGTCGTGTATTAGCAGATGATATATATATGGGTCCGCGATGTATTGCCACTCGGAATCAAGACATCAATAAGCGCGAGATACTTCTCGAAGTTAGATCTACGGTCGGGCTATACTACCAAGTGCGTATCGCGGAAGGAGACAAGCCAAAAACAGAAGTAATCGTCGATACGATAGGTTGATTAACGCTTACCAGTCATTATAGGCATAAAGCCGCCTAATCTGAATTTGGAAGACAATACCGGTTGGTAATGATGATTTCTCTTCATCAGCGACTTTCGCGAATGCCTTCTATCGACAAAGAATCTCCTGAGTTAGCAGCCTGCCCTACTTATCTAGCCGGTCTTTGCTAGGTTTACCCTGGAAAGAAAGGTTGTTGGCAAAAGCCTGGGTTAGGTGTGTATTTGGTTGCCACCAGCTCTTAAGCACACCCATTGGCATTGACTGCATGGGATCGAAAGACTTCCGGTTTCGTGAACGTGTCTATAACTTTCTCATGGCTCAGATTTGGATGAATACACGGGGGCGTATTCTTGAATGAACTGAACCAAATTAGCACTTTCCACAGGGCTCCCTCGTTCCGTATATGAGTTCTTTCGAATTTGTCGTCGTGGATTAGCATCTCGAGGGCCTTTGATAGGCATAAAGAAATCGTCTTGGTTAGCAACCACCAAACCAATAGAACAGGGGTTAGCTCCGCAGCCGGTCTACAAGCCAAGCAAGGTAAGTAGGTCCATTACTGGCCGGCTCCGGACCGAAAAGACTTGACGGCGTAATCCTTTATCTCAGGTCGGAAATGTTAAAGAGGCGGGAATCGGCGGGGACCTTTCTACCGCCTCTGTCTATCTCCTGTAAAGTATGCTCCCCAGACATAGCCTAAGTACGGGGTAGTACTCTTGGAAAGATAGAATATGACCGCGTGAACATAAG